CGACTGGCAAGTCAAGAAACAACAACAACAACAAAAACAATAACTTCGAAGAGTGATCTACTCCAAGTTTTGAAGCAAGAGTGGGCGAAAATTCCACAATCTAAAATTGACGAGATGATTCTCACGATGCCCCAAAGGATCAACGAACTCCACGAAGCGAAAGGAAGATCTACTAGATATTAATTAAATTATAAATATATCAATTTATGTGAATATGACTGAAAAATTTCATTTTTTTCTGAAAAGATGGTGTCTATTTACTTGTGACCACGCTGTGTATATTGTTTTTTAATATTAGAGTGGATTGAAACTTTTAAAACATTTGAAATCCCATGTTCTCCTGACGGCAATTCATAACACTTAAAATATTTTCGTTTATACTAAAGTTCAGAGTGACGTATCTTTAAATAATTAGTCCCGTTACTTGGAGACTCACTTGCTAATATAGCGCAGGTTGCTGCCTTATGATCGATATTGCACCTTTCGGCCTCTTTCTATAAACATATTATATATACATATTATGTTCCTGTGATAATATCTTAAAATGTTAACATGCTGACTAGCTCATTTTGAACTTCTGCAAGTATTAAGAAAATTATCAAATCATAGATTTTAAATCGTCTAATGATTTCTTAATTGTGAGTGTTGTAAGATATGGCGAAAACTACTTGAACAATATTAGATTTTTATAAAATACCCAAATTAAACGTTTGAACGAAGTATTCTAATAAACTGTGTTAAAGATGGCGATTTTAACTAATTTGTTCAGCTTCTAATATCCAAAATTAAATACGTAAAATATTATTTCGTTAAAATAATTAATCATTTAGCAATACTTATAATAAGGAAACTAATTAGCATTTTATCTTATTGATTTTGTTTAGTAATTTAGTTTTTCCACCAAAACAAGTCGGTCCGTTCCGCTAATAACAAGAAAAACGTGTTGTTCTCTCTTTCTCCATATGACAAATTTAGAGACATAAAATTACAAGGGACTCGTTAGTAATACGTTACTACACGTATGCTGAATGCTGTATGTTTAATTGTAAGAAGGAAAAGATGTTGAAATTATTTAATGTTTGAAACGAAGGGTTACGATGTAAAAGTGTCGCCTTGATAATGTAATCTTGAACAGAAACACCCATGAGATTACAAAATCAATGATGTTGGAAAAAAATCATTATTTTTTCGTAAGTACAAGAAACACTTAAACGGAAAGAGAAAACATAGAATAAATTAATATCTAAGAGATAGTGATGAACATGTATAATTTAATGTGAAACTAGAAGGAAGAGAATGCAATGGTTTTTAAAATTAAAGGATAATGGGAATGATCGACACTAAAGTTGTATTATCAAATTCCTTTATAATGTTTGCGGCAAAATAATGAGTAAATAATATTTTATCTTTATTAACTTTATTATTATGCAGATTATGGGAATGTTTTGATTTTGTAATAATCGACAAAATTTTAACGTTGAACTAAAATAAATGAAACTCACAATGATTCATTTAAATTAGTTTAATGTTCAAGAGTATTTTAACGTTGAATTTGGAAGCAGTAGAAACTTGGACAGGGTTTTAGAAAATGAATCTTAGATTCATCACATTTTACTGTATATTCTATGAAAGTTACTACTTCTTAATACATAAAATGTTTATTGTGTACAATAAGAACAACCATTTGTCACTACTCTACTAGAATTTAACCTATACAAAAGCCAGTGTGTGTCACGTCACGCTTGAGTTCTCAAAATAGGAGAAGTCATAAAAGCCAAAATGCATTTATCCAGATATAATAGTTCGAGTAGTGTCTGCTCATTACGATTTTAGTGACGGAGGAGCAAGTCAAGTTTAATTTCACAAAATTTATTTATTTCAGTTAGCTATTGAATATGAGGTTAGGGTGTGCTATGGGGTCGGGGTGAGGTGGTAGTATTTGCCCCGTCAGTTTTGACGGCTATACTCTAGTTTTTTATGTAAGCAATAGTTACAATCTATATAACTTTACTGTTTTACCCCAGATCTTGTTTTTGTGTTGTTAATTTTTTAATTTTTGTATTTTTAGTTAAACCATCCTCAATGGAAGTTGAAGGACCCATATTTCCTGTTACAGAAGGAGAAAAACTCTCACTTATTTGCACGGTAGAGGGGGCTAAGCCTGCAGCTACTGCCGTCTGGTATAATCACTCAGAAACCATGCAACCTCAACCCAATTCCCAAATTAAGCCTGCTGGTGATGGAAGTTTCCAAACTATTAGTAGGCTTGAAATAGTTGTATCAAGATATGATCACAAGGGAAAATTTTATTGTAAAGGATCAAATCCAGTGGTGGAGAAGAAAAGCGATCCACCTTTATTAAAATTTATCGAAATTGAAGTTTTATGTAAGTACACGAGTACATTACTTGTTATTTTTTTCCTAAAAATACCTTTCTATTATGAACAAAATGTTAAAGCCTCTTATAAGAGTTTCATTTCGCTTACCCTCTGTCAGTGTTCCGTGAATAATGAAGAAATAAAAGTTGGGAAAAAATGAATCCGACTTTGTTATAATCTTCTGTTTTATATTTCAGCAATTTGTATTTATCATGTTTGTCACAATAACGGTAAACCAACTGAGAACCACTGTTTGTTATAAATCACTGTTTTAAGCATTATATGGTATTTCTCTTCTCATTTAGCATACAAATATATATTATATAGATCCTCCTACTGTTGTTGTGGAACCACAAGAAGGAATCACTGTTAAAGAGACTGAAAATGCCACAGTGTCTTGCACCTTTGATGCTAATCCGTCCGAAGTCAACGATGTGACCTGGTATAAAGAGCGTGTGCAGTTGTCCGTGGATGACATAGATAGATTTGAATTGAAGAATTTCACGTACCCTACCCTGGTTATACACAATGTGACGCGCAGTGACTCGGGGATGTACTCTTGTAGATTGACTAATAAGATTGGACGAGGAAACCCGAGCGAGGATGTCGAGATAATAGTTCTGTGTAAGTTATATAACAGACGCTATAAAAGAAATATGATCATTTAGAGTTTATTATTGTTGTTGTTGCCATAATTTTTTCAATAACATTTAGCTTAAATTTAGATATTTTGATGAGGTTGTAATTTAATATGAGTTATTAGCTAGATTGTAATATGATTAATAATAATAAAAAAAAACACTTATCACTGTGGTACATCATCCAGAGAATGCAAATATACTTAATATGATAAAAATGACAACTTTGAATATAATTTGAATAGGACATCCTTCTAAATCTAAAAAGTACATTGTATCACACCTTACTGGTTTCTTATCTAACTCAGAGACATAATAAATTGTAACGCAGATAAACCAGTAGCCCAACACTTCAATTTGCACAACGTTACCCTTGGCCATTTTAAAATACTTGTTTTGAAGAAGGCCCCTACAAACAAACATTACTGCGAAGTACAAGAAAACAAAATAATTTTTGATCTGGGAACTTTCCACCCCTATGGACTAAATGAACGTTTTACCTTTTTGTAATATTTTCCGTTTTAGTTTTATCCTTTCTTAAAAAGTTTTATACAGTAAATTATGTATCTATTATGCATACATATTCATATATGTATGTGCGTGTGTGTGCGCGCATGTGTTTGTATAATGTGTTTTATTTGGAGCAGTGACAAGTACGCAAGTTCCACGAAACGGGAAATTCGATCTTCTGTCTAGTTTCCGTGTAATTTTACACCTATATTCGTCAGTGAAGAAGAGATGTGCTTCATATGCATATACGTTACCTTCACAATAAACACATCTGATCCTTCACAATGGCTTCAGAAACAGTTAAAATTATTCATTCTCAAAATTACACATATTTTAATTCATACGGTTACCAAACGTAGCGTAATTACTTATCCTTTCATCATTGCTCTTCTCGCAATGATAATTCAAAGTACTAAAGTGCACTTTTACACAGAAACTTTAAAGGGGAAAAATTGCGATAAAGAATTTGTATCCTTTACAATTTAGAGTGCAAACTAAAACTGTAGAAATTTTACTTGAAAATAATTCTACAACAAAAACAAACTATACAGTAAAAACTTTTAGAGGCGATTGTTAAAGACGTATATTGTGTTAAAAAAGGATTATTTTATAAGTTATCTCTAAACCAATGTGTGGGACTAATACCACAAGAAGTGCCCCGCAGTAAAACAGCGGCACGTCTGCGGACTTAAAACTCTAGAAAATCAGGTTTCGATACTCCTGGTGGGCAGAGCACAGATAGCCCATTGTGTTGCTTTGTGCTTAACTTCAAGAAGCACGATATATTAGGCAATTCTACATACATAACTCATATTTCAAGAAGGAATAAGACTTTGAAACTCTTTATTATAGTCATTCATGGATTGTTTCTTTTCTGAAGTTATAGATTTTAGTAACGAAAATAAAAATTCAAAATTAATATATCTTACTGCCTCTACTAGTCTAGTATCTCTACTACTTTGCTGTACAGAGAGAGACATGCAAAAGGACAATCTGTGAATATCACGATATATATATACATATAATTTTCTCTTTTTCTCAGGAATCCATACTTGAAGTATATCGGTCACAAGCTATAAAATACAATAATAATCAAAATTTGTAAAACATTTTACATGCTGTAATCTACAAAACGTCAATTCTGTTATGGCTTAATGAAGACAAGTGTGTATGTTTAGTATTAAATTATAAAATGATAGTTATTAATATTATTCGATTTATCGAACTATAAATTCCTTGATTTGGATTTACGACCGCAAATACAAGAACAGACGAAAACACAGTATGAAAATTGAAGCTCGTCGTTGTTTTTTTGTATCGTGGTTTTATGTTGCAGGGTAAATATCAAACCCTGAAGTTACTCAAATGACAGCGTAAAGTTTTATTTGATTATTGATTTATGACCAACACTGAAGTTAAAGGTTCTTTTTTTTTTTTGGAATGCTATATCGATCTGGTGTGTATCTTCTAAAGGATTGACTGCTGGTAGCAAGAGCACCAATATATCTTTGAATAACTACTCTTTAGGTATTTTTTAAAACTCCAATTAGGGTTTAAAATAAGGAGGACAATATGAAACAAAATTTTATTGCACTTGTGGATAAAAATGAACTTACTTCAGAGAAGGATCTCAGCGATTATTGTTTTTGTTTTTCAGTTAGAGAACTTTGTAATTAATAAAGTGTAATCATTATTTGTCTATAAACGTAGAGTTAGAATGTATTTCATAAATTAAGTGCAAATTGTCAAAAACAGGAAGAACACAAGAAAAACCTATTTCTATTGAAGACATTTATTTTGTTAATTTTCTATTGATTTCAGTTATAGAAGAATTTAATAAGGAAGGAACTTTACACCAAATGAGCAGTTAACCATGAAAGGGACTAAAATATTGCCTTTATTGCATAACTTTTCAAAAGTATGCTATTTTAAAATGTGGAGCAGAAATGACAGATATTGAAGATTTCTGTACTTCATGATAGATATATGAATTTTGTTTTTGGTATTTTGTATTTGATTCCACAAAGTTTATAAAATATAAGATCAGTGCTGTGTATTTAAAGTAATTTAAAAAATAAGTGACCTGCCTAGACTGTTCACGTATGAGGTTAGGTACGTTGAGTTCTGAACGAATCTGATGGCCGTGCGGGGCGTCTCAGTGACTACGAGGTTAAACCTATTCCACAACACGGGATACTCACCAAACACCTCTGGTGCAAAAGACACTTTGAGCCAAATTGTTTAATAAAAATTACAAACCGATCGACTTATCTAGTAAGAGACACCAGATCTAGCGACACTTTCAAAACCTGGGTATTGAGGGCAAGTATTAAAATTCAACAACAGGGTGACTATACCGGTACTCAAATGAAGAAAGTCACAGACAGAAGCTTAATTCATAAATAGGGAAAGGGTTTTTTTCAGTTAAGTGTAACAGAAGATAATACATTTATCGCTCTTACTCTAACGAAAAATAGATGTTTCAACAAACTATTAACCACCAGTGTAAATTTAGTTTTACAAGGGTTTATATTTAATGATGCGACCAACAATCTATATAATTAAAAAGTAACGTGGGCGCGTACGTGAGAAACTTTATAAACTTCATAAAACTAAGAAAAACGAAATTCAGAGTAGAGAAGTATAGACGACGTTACCACACACGTAAGGTGTAGGTAGTACTGAAAAGGGAAGGGAATTTAGGGAATGGATCTATAACTTCTCAGAGCCCCATCTCAGACAACAGGATTTTTTCAAGCACTTTAAATTTGTTAACAACTGGATCCATAATAAAACAGACTATCTAGTAGAAGCAGATAGGTAAAAATATGTTCATTAGAACTAAGTTCTGTTACTTAAGTTATCTTTTATTTCAGATCCACCCGTGGTAGAAATTTCTCTTTCACCTGCTGTTGTCAACGAGAATGATGGAACTACCGTGTCTCTGAGGTGTTTAGTTACAGATGGGAATCCACGGAGCCTGCTTCAAGTACGGTGGTACAGGAATGACCAGCTGTTAAACGAAACCATGGAAGACCAAATTGAGTTAGAGAATGTTAGACGTGAAGCATCTGCTAAGTACACTTGCGAAGCAGAAAATTCTGCAGGGTGGGGTGATCTTGCAGAATCACAGGCGTTACTGGTTAACTGTAAGTATGAAAATAATTTTATTGTTGTTAAGAGAGGAAATCCACTATACACTTTAAATAAAAGTCCAAAGATACAGCTACATAATTTTAAGCTCTGAAGACTGCATTATGACAAGTGAATTACTAATGGTTAATGGTTAATCATGTTAGTGCGCTTTTCGGTCTGAATTGATAAAACGTTTATTTTTGTTTTTGTTTACGTTTTACCTATTACTTAATATATATTTTGGGGATAATATTTGTGTAACTTTAACTTATATTAAATTTGAATGGGTGTGTACTGTCTATCGAGTTTCTTAAATTATTGGTTAATTGTTGGTTTTCACTTTGTATGTTGCAAAAAAAGAATAACAACAAGAGAATTGTTTTCTCATCAGATCTACCAGGTCCTGCAGTGGTAATAGAGGTAGATCCTCCAGCTGTCAAAGGTCGTCCGATAACGTTTCAGTGCTTAGTGGAAGACTCAGGTCGTCCACCAGCTACATTATTTCGCTGGGAACATGATGGTGATCTTCTTCGTAGTAAAACTCAGAATTATACTACAGATCCACTCAGACTAAGTACTCGTGGAAACTACACCTGTGCAGCTGTTAACGAAGTAGGGAGCGGACCAAAAGGATTTATACGTTTGATTGGAAAAGGTGAGCAAACATTTATATTTTCTTGTTGTGCATATCAAAAGTATAATTCTTTTTTTGGAACTACATGTCTCTCTATCTGTGTAATATATCCATGTAGAGATACCCACTTATATTCTTTCCTACTTCAACCATTAACCTATTCAAGAAGTGCTTTGAAAATCAAATCAATTTTACGTAAAGCTGCCAGAAAAAATAAACATGATAACCAAATATTTCAGTGTAGGCTAGATAAATAACAGCATTCTTTAAAAGTGAATCGAATTTCTTACTTCCGACAACTTATTTGAATACTTTCCTTATACTATATATGTTTAGTTTGAGATGATCATCGTTCTTTGGAATAGTTACAAACTGTAAAGTCACATATTTTGTTGGGGTTTCAGCGTTTATATCATAACAGATAAGCACAATACATTGTTAATTTTCAATAATAACTGTTCTATTTACATATATTGTGAAAAGTAATACAGATTTGAAATTAAAATTTAAAAATAAATTTTGTTTAAAAGTCTGTTAGTGCGGTAAAAACATAAGTAATATAATAGCCTCTTTCTTATTTTATTGTAAACTACACTAAATACATGCTGTATTGAGAAGATCTAAAATTAAATTTCGGAAGTTTAGAAAACTTTCGTAGCGCCCGTTCAAAAGGCATTTGTATAACGTAGGAAATGATGTATACCCACTCTTAGCTTATCTGATATATATATCGGTCGGGAGTTTCATATATCAGAAATTTTAGGGTGGTTTCATTTCTACTTTAAGAACGATAAGAACTTTTAAGGGTAACTGGCTGCAGACAGTGAAGGGTAGTAAGAGTTGAGATGCTATGGGTGTAAGCACTCAAATCCATACCGTTAATTGATTTTACATGTTTGCTGGCTAGCGTTTGGATTTTGCCTGATAGATGGGATATTCTCAACGCATTTAGAAACTATTACCACAGATCTTATCCGTTATGACCTTAAGGTGACAACTAGGACTGACAATGGAATCTCTACCAAAGTCCGTACAATGCTTATTATATACGAGTATATAAATATATTATTTTCAACTTCCGTAGAAATGAATTTGCTTTGTGGATATAGATATATACCACGGTTTAAATCGTGCCGTTTTCTATTTTCTTAGCTCACTTTTTATGCTATGGTGTAATAAAAAGCAACAACTGTGTCTCTAGATAGATAGATGTTCAGAGCCGAGACTCGTTTTTCTATGTTTATATAATAAATAAAAATATTTTTCCCTTTCTCAATTGGATCTGTTTTCTCCAAAAGATGAAAATTCACTGGAAACATAAATCGAAAAAATATGTTAAAGCAACATGCTAGTCATCTCGCTCATACGAGCATTTTGTTTTCTTACAGTTGTCCTAACAATACGTTTTCTAAAAGAATTGCTGGAGACCGAATGACACATTAACTTCCATTTCTTTAATTCAAGGACGTTTATGGGCTCATCTGATGAAATGATCTTCAAATTATGAGAAATAAATTTGTGCATCGCCGCATTGCATTATCCGTCAGAGTTAAGTTTAAATTTATGGCTGAGGATGCTGTACGAGCAGTACATTTCACTCACTATCAGCGTTTATATTCCCCGTCGTACTAAACATTTGTAGAAAGTCATAAAGAGGACTGAACTGCTCTAGCTTCAGAAATATTTCTCGGAAACGCTAAGAGCTTAACTTTGTACGTAGTTCATTTTAGAAAGATATCCTGACACTTAATTGTGAGAAACTGTAATATTCTCGGAACCAAAGTGCCTGCTAAAGTCGTATACAACTAAAGCACTGAGTAGTAATTGCGTATTTCATATATCGTCCCCGTCCCCTCTTTTCTATGTTGTGGCCTTTCGTTTAATTAATCTTCCACTCTGGGTCTTACTTAACTAATGCACGGAATGATTGTCATGGCTATTGTTTATATAAACTGATAAAAATGTTTAAAGCTTTTCAAAGTATCCAACTTAGTGGACGAAGTATTCAGCTTATTTACACAGTTCCTGTAACACTATAACGCTAAAAAAAGTTTTTATACCTATGATGGATGGGCACAGCACAGATAGTCTAACGCGTAGCTTTCTCCTTAACAACAAACAAACTTTAACACCAACTCTAAATTTGGGCATTTGGTACCATTAGAGGACACCAGACTTTATTACATTTTTATGGTAACTATATACATATGTGTGTGTGTGTGGGGGGGGGGGTTACAAAAATTGGTGATAGACATTTGAGCAAAGTATCTTGTAATTAGACATTCAGAGTAAATTTAGGGTACAAAGCTGGGTTCACTAGCCTGGTTATGATCCATGCAAAGTGTTTTATTTGAGCCGTGTTTGAGGTAGCGCTGTAGTCAATTTCAATCGGTTCAAATGAAGGTGAACCAGCTTTGACTCCAACATTGTAAAATTGGTGGTTCTGCAGGTAAACCAGTGATACTTCACTTCTTTTTAGCAACAACATCAGGGGTTCGCTTTGTGAGCTTATTCTTACATGTGGGACCTTCTGGTTGTATAATAATTCCGTTGAATCTGTGAGATATCCCTTCTCCACTTAATCTCTCCTCAATATAACTACACGAACCTAATACCATTCACTAATTTTCTCGCACGAGATGGATTTTAACTTAAGTTTTCTGGTATTTTTACCTTGGCCTCAAGCTTCAAATATTTTATTTCCCGTAGAATTTTCCCACTCTTTTCTACTTCTAAGTTACCTCAATCATCTCCTATTTCTACTTCTAATAGTTCTTCTATCCTTTCCTGTCCAAATTCTACATATATCCCTATCTCAGAAGTTACCAACAACCTACACAATAATACTTCTATCACTCAATCCACTCACCTAAAAACTCATTCACTCTCTCACAGTGATCCTCCTAGTTCTTCTTTAGGTTCTGCTAGGGGATTAAATACAAATAGCAACATTCGTCCTTCTTATGCTTCTGTTGTTCGTTCTACTTTACTCAAAACTCTTCTGTTCCATTATCTCCAAAACTTCACCAGATCAATATTAGTGTAAACACTGTATGTGCTACACTACAGTCTTCACTACTCGATCAGTCTCTTTTAGAATTACCTTCATTAGAATACTGTAGTCCTTCATTGTTAGCATCAATTCTCACAATGACTAGATCCTTGAAAACACCTTATTAGAACCCATGAATATAACTAAAATCTTCTGTCGATATTCTAGATAAAGAAATTTCCCACTATTATCACCTGTACAACCCTTCGCTGGAAGAAAAAGAAAAACTACAAAAATTCACAAAGAGAACTGATACATTCCTTCTTAAAAAGAATAACAAAAATCAGTCTCCTACCAATAACACCAATTTTGAAAAAAGCACTCCTAACAGCATTCTTTCGAATCCTCTTTTTTATCTTAAAGAAACTACCATAGCATCAAGCAACCTATAGAAGCTGTCAAAATCCCTTTATTTCACAATGAACAACTTCAAAAATGCTTAAAAACACTTCATCCTCTAATACGCATAAGCCTTCTTAAACTAACAAATCTGAAAATAACAATGATCTCATAAATTGTACATATTTTTGCATTTGGACAGCCGATCTTAAACCACTTAAAGAATTTATCTCACATGCAAACTCCTTTCACTATAAAAGCTGTCACCCCGCTTACACTAAACGGAACATTACCTACAGTCAAACTCTTTGAATGAAGAAAATATGCTCAGATGAAACAGACTACAGAAAACACACCAAGGATCTAAAACAAACCATTTAACAAAGAGGATATAAAGATACCGAAATCGACAGACAAATTGGAAAGGCTAACAACACTCAGCGGAAAAACATCCTACAACAGAACAATACTAAAGTTTCGAACACAATTCCTCTTATCATTATCTATTATTTTAAATTCAGAAACGTTTCACGAATTCTGAAAAAAAAAACCTTTTTATCTCCTACAACTCAACGATTGCCTTAAACAGATATTTTCTGAAGTCTCCTTCCGAAAAAGTCGAACTCTAAAAGATATACTTGTTCACACAAAAGGGATTTACAAAAAAAAAATGGTTGTAATCCAAGCAATAAAGCTTGTTGTTAAACCTGCAAGTTCATATAAACTACTGACTCATTTTATAACAAGCACAACCAAAAAACTTTAAAATATTCAAAGAAATCATTTGTGAAACACAAAACATCATTTACCTTATACAGTGTAAAAATGCAATCATCAGTATGTAGGACATACACAAACAACTCTTATAGAACGTTTCAGCAACCATAAATCTATTAACTCCGAAATAAATCTCCCTGTTGCTCAACACTTTAACCAACCCGGTCATTTCATTAGCGACGTTACTCTCGTCGGCATTGAAACAGTATTCAAAACTAAAGCTGATAGAGAGATAAAAGAAGCTTACTGGATTGCTAATCTAAACACTGTTTAACCTTTTGGAATCAATCTAGATCCTGGAATCAGTGATCTCCGTTCATTGGTTTCATTTCTGTCAAAAAAAAATTCTTTGCTTATTTCTTTCATTTTATATGAACACTATTTTTTTCTAAAGCGTACTATTTATTTAAGATGATTTTCCACACGTCTTTGTATAAGTCAATTAGCTTAACATATCTTTTTCAATGAGTCTCCAGGTGTGATCTTTATTTTACTTAAACACTTACGTTTAATTTATTTATTTCTTTTTCAACCATTTCTAAAGCAAAATATCCCCAACACCGTTTTACATAACACTCTCGTCGCCGACCACATGGTACCGGAAATGAAACACACTTAGAACAGTACATGGAAAAATATAATAAACATTTCCTGAAAGACCAGATCACCTTCGTGACGTTACTCAACTCCCTTTATATATCACCCATTCGCTAGGTTCTGCGAACATTCCCAGTTTGCCCCTGAAGAAGAAAGGTCCACCTTTCGAAAGCGCTCGGGTTATAGGGTTTTTATTATTTTGTATCAAGACTTCTTGAATCTACGTATTTTTCTGACATCATGAAAGCAATATAAT